GGGGCTGTTCAATTTATTCTTGGGTATCGCTATGCAGGGCGTACTTGAGACAATACTTGTCCGCACGCTCGGCAAGCGCAGTGCGCTCAAGGTATCAATGAAGCTCCCTATGCCATTTGAAATATGTAAGGATTTGAGCTTGGCGATGTTAGGGCGAGAAGTAAGTATATTAGGATTTCCCGACTACATGGCTATTATGCACTTTCTTTGATGGGTCCAATTTGCTAACATTCTGGTTTTCCTTTTGATAGTTCCTCTCATATTTCCTTCACCGCTACGCTCTCCACTCCAAACTATCTCCTACGCTTGCCAGATGGCACCAAACTTGGTATCATTCGCTGTCTGCTCCGTTCCCATTGACCGCGCATTACGACCACCCCATCCCCTACCTGGTTACCAAGTTCATTCCGACCTATGCGCCGGCCATCCTCTTCCGCTTCCATATGCTTACGTATATTTTGTATCTACTGTTTATCTCTGTTGAGGAAACCTTCACATACTCTGGATATACTGTCATGCCGACAACCCTATTCTTGGGTGGGATGGCCCGTCGTACAGATATGCATTTGTTGATGGGTGGAAGTGGAAATTATGGCCCATGGGGTGTTTTGGATTGGATTCTTGGCACTGCTGTTGGAGAACTGCATAGCGACGAGGAGACGGGTGATGAGGCGGATGAGCGGGATATGCGGAGAGCGTATGAGGCTGCGAAGCGAAAGGCTATTGGGTCTGGAAAGTCAAAGCGACGATGAAACGACCATTGACGAGTATATGATGAATCATTGGGATTGCAGCTATGTAGACTTTGTCTTTGTGTTACCGTTATTATTTGGAGTATGAGTTAGGATTGTTCAAAATATATCATCCAAATCTACAATATATATCCGAGAAAGGTTAGATTTTTGAGCTTTATAGTATTTGTAAATGTTAGCATTATTAATGTCAAAAATATTTTGATATGACCTAATTATTGAATGCTAATCTCAGTGTCATGCAATTAGCAGCCAAGATGGTATTCATGACTAGTACATAGCCCTAATAATGACTGGCGGAGTGGTGGCATTAGACTCATCAACGGGATATTAAAATTAAAAAACTTATTAACTTGCCACCCAACCATGCCACAGCAATACAGCTGAGCAGCCATTGTACTCGTTCATTGAGAACTGTGTCAAGACAAGACTTGTTTTATACTTCATAGTCCACGCCTAGATCTTCAGATCTTACACTCTTAGTTCCACACAATGCGAATATCCACTTACAGACAAGGCCCAGCAACCTTATATTTTAGTGTCTTACAAGATATTACATGACCGTATAGATGAATCGAAGGAATTGCCCAATTTTGGATTGCCGCCTGAACCTTGAAATGGGAGTAGGTCATACTGAACATAAAAGAGAATCCAGCCCGCCTGCTGGAACGAGGTGATTTTTAATCTTTTTTTTTGCTTGAAGTCTTTCTTCATAACGCAGCTTCATGCAAAATCAGCCACGCGCAAAGGGAACGGGTTTCTTGAAACATGAAACATGAGAACGACATCCGGATGTCCGAATTAACCGCAAATCATAAGAAAAGTGAAAAACGTGTTTTGACGGATCCCGTAGGAATTACATGACATGGTTCATGAAACCGGCCCCCCGAAAGTCGCGAAAGGATGCCGATCTGCAATCGAGCCGCCCCTCGTTGGAAAAATGGTCCTCCCCAACTATCTACCGAACCCGCGGCTACCACACATTTACCACTTCATCTCGTGGGGCTTGTCGCCGTTGCGGAGGCTGAAGGTGGTAGCGAGGTAGCTGCCGAGGAAATCCTCCTTCTTGATCGAGGCAAGGATAGCCTGGTCGATAGCCTTCTGGTCGCTGGCGCGAGCGCTGGCAACAACCTTCTTCTGTAAAGACAAAAAAGTAATTAGTATCTTGACCACTGTAAATATGTGATATCCTAGACAAGATGCGTACCTCGGCCTTCTCGCCCTGCTTGAAGAAAGCCTCCTCGGTCTTCTGCTCAGCCTTCTTGTCCTTGGTGAAGTATCCGGGAGCGGAGATCTTCTCAACAGTCTTGGCGTCAACACCGGCGATGTCGACACGCTTGGAGGTGGCGATAACGTAGCGGGCGTTCACGCGACGGAGAGGGACACCGTTGATCTTGAAGGGACCGGTGACAAGGAGGACACCCTGGTCGAGGGACTTGAGGAGGATGACACGCTTGCCACGGAAACGGCCAGCGAGGAGGATCAGGATGGTGCCGGGAACGAGGGTCTCGCGGACCTTGGCGGGACGCAGGGTCTTGCGAACCTGTAAACACACAAAGTAGTTAGTCTCTGATGTCACACAAATCCCAGCGATTCCCGATGAATCCGCAAGTATCTCCATCGCCATAGCGACATCTTCCCCAGATGATAATGCGATTCGCACAAGATCACAATATTTGATGAACTTTTTTCATGTGTCGTCGATTGACACCGGTGTCTGGCTGGATGTCGCCCCGTAATTCACAAAGGCTCTTTCTTCCTCAGAATACCGGTGCTATCGTCGCAATCATCGGGGGCAGATGTGTGCCGGTCGCATATCCTCCTCTTTTTTGTGGCGTCCCATCTTCATAGGGTGTACTGACTTTCTTGGGCTGCGACTGATCGTCCACGGGGTACCACTTCTGGGCCTTGTCGGCGGGCACGACCCTCTGGCTCTTCCCGAACTGCTTCGTCTGGCCGTCCGACATGATGGCTGCTGGCGAAGGATGAATGGTTGTCGGGGTGGTTGTTGGAGATTTGGGTGAGGACTTGGACTGGCTAAGCGGAGTCGGCTCCAGTGCGGGAATTCGTCGAGGGTTGTGTGTACGAAGCCCTATCACGTGTTTAACCGACAACCCTAGCCAATTTTGGAAAGCGGTAACTCAGCACATTGATGCCATATTTGTAAGGCCACTTTGTACGGGCAACTGTAAAACCACTGACGCAGAACCACTGCTCGACACAAACAACTGACGTATACTGCTCGCAGCCTCTCTCTCATTCTGTATACTCTATCTCTTACATTCTCCACAACTCTTTCTTTTATCTACCTGGAGGGTGCCAATTCTGTCAATACAGTATAATCTGTTATTGGATCTCTGTTCAGAATCAAATTCCCAACATGTCGATAGCTCCGATCATCACCTTCAAAGCAGGTATCTGCGACCTGGATGTACGTGAGCTTAACTTTCCGGACCCGACTGGGATAGTTCGATGATCAACTCCATCATCCGGATGTACCCTTATCTCCATTGCAAGTTTACTGATAGTTTTAATCCAGCTCTCTAGCACTCCTGCCGCCGTAAAGCCGAAGCCCACCCCAGGCTATGTTTATCTTTACTCCGAAGATGATCTTATCCACTTCTGCTGGCGCTCGCGCAGCGCCTCACTTGACGAGCCCGAGCTTGACCTGGTGATGATTCCTTCAGATGGTAGCTTTACTCCCTACAAGCCATCCGGTAGGGACGCTACGAATGGCCGGATCTTCGTTCTGAAGTTCTCCTCCAGCTCTCAGCGATACCTGTTCTGGATGCAGTCCCAGTCCCAGCACGAGGACGGCGACCCAAGCTGGTTTAGCCCTCGTGACTTGAAGCTTGGAGAAATTGTCGATGTTCTGCTGCAGGGTGAGGATGTTGATGTAGAGCATGAGATCGCCAATCTTCCTCGACGGCCATCGGGCGGTGATGACGATGAGACCATGGAAGACGTGGAAGGCACCGACCATGATCGCGGCCGATACCACAGCACAGGCAGCGGCGGTGCCGGCCCCGATGCGACCGGCGGTGACGTGCGTGAGGAGGGACAAGAGTCGCGAGAGGGTGGTGCCGATGGTGGCCGAGCGTAGGTACATATCTCTGACAGCCTTGGTCCAGGACACCCAAGCTAATATGCTGTTCTTACAGGGCAACTACCGAGGAAGATCCAGCGTCGGTTGTCCAGGACTTTTTGAAGTCCCTGGGCGGCCGCCAGAGCCAGAGCCAATCCCAAGATCCCGAACGACCATCTACGACACTCCAAGACCTCCTTCCACCCTCGATCACGCTGCAATTTATCGATTCTGCTGATACCACTACTGTCGATCATCTTCTGAGCTTCTTGCCACCCGCACTACTTTTGCTGGCCCAGGGCAATGCTGAGGCTTCGGAAGCCGATACAGACCCGGAACTTGCCCAGGCTGCTCTCCTGTCCCTTGACCTCACCCAGAAAAAAGATATTCTCCGAAAAGTGCTTCGTTCTCCCCAATTTATGCAAAGCTTGGCTAGCCTTACTATAGCCCTCCGTGATGGCGGGCTTCCGAGTATCAGTGAGGCCTTGCAGATCCCCGTGGCTAATGGAGGATTTATGCGGAGAGGTGGAGTACCCCTTGGTGGTGGCGATGCGGTAGATGCGTTCCTGGATGGCGTTCGGCAACACGTTCAAGAAAAGGATTCTCAGATGGATACCGATTGAATTACAATCAATACGTTTACTTCGAGATTTTGAGAGTTCAATGTTTCAAGACACTCTAAGACATTTGAAAAGTAGAACTATTTTTGGACAGCACCACACTAGGCAACACAGTTTTAAGGCTGCGTCAGCATCTGGTTAAAAAACCGTTGTAATTTTCAAGGAGCTGAAATGGTAATGTAAGCACGGTACGAAGTACATATGCAAGTGTGCCACCTCACGCAGAGTTCAATCTGGTGGTATTGGTGCTATATACATCCAAACCCTTGGAAGACAAAGTGGACCTTCCCCCGACTGCGCTAATGCCAGGCAAAACAACAATCCAGCCACAGAGTATATATGGCGTCTGAAAAACCGTCGTCTTACCTACTTGCCTTTCTATACCTAAACCCTGGATATGTTATACAGTGCTAATAATACGTGGTATATAGCCGTTTTACTTGATCCCAAAGGACGGGACAGACGTATACACCACAGTCCCCGTTTTCGACGAACCGTACCTCAGTCCAACTTTACAAGGGTGATCTATCTAGGTCTTCATAGATGTCGATAAATCATTATCTCAGTAGTCAACATACAGAATCCATAGAGTTTTCTTTGGAGAACCGAATCAATCCTGTTGTGGAATTCTTGATAGTCCTGTTAGTCCTTGATCAGGGCTGATGTCAAATATAGCAAGCAGATAGGGATGCCGCCGCGGTCAAGGCCAACCCCGAGGCCGCAATCGCCAAGCTTACAGCTGAAGCTGAGGCCGTTCGGGTCCTTGCGGACCGCACCGTTGCCCCCGCGCCGCTCATTCTGACGCGCGTGTCGCTGCCGCCCATACTGTGAGATACCCCCTTCTTTCGTCCTATTCTTCCACATCAGTAAGACCTTTTGTGGGATGACAAATCAAGTTTTTTGGTCCGACATCATCTTAAACAGGTTGAGACCGCTGCCTCTGGTGAGGCTGTCGGACGCAATGTGGACTCTGAGGGTGGTGCTCATGGTTCCCCTACTGGTGGCTGGGGCGAATCTAACTTTGGCAATCTGTGTCCACTCCGTTGGTTTTGTTCCCACTGACTTTATGTAAGCTACTAAGGATACCTATGCGCAATGGATCTCTGATCCTCCCTCGTGGTTCCATAGCCTCCTACCGCTGAGTATGACCCTGAGTGGTCGACACTCATTGTTGAGAGAACGCGTTACCCTCGGTTGCGTGTCTCCGAGGAGTCGGCCCGGTCCTGGTACACCGGCATTGCGGCCTTCGTTAGGATGCCCGGGATTCCGTCTAGGAGTTGATCGACAACTCCGATGTCAGCGAGGCCATTGGCCAATTTTTACAGGCACATATAGACATTTTCCCCTTGAACCCGTAGGTATAGCGGTTGTATCTCGGCCTATTTCCGTATATGTTTCGAGACTCTATACCCTCTATTCCTATTGTTTTCCTTTTTCTCTTTTACTGCTTCCCCTACTAGCCTTAGTAAGATAGTGTAGTCTCTAGGTTATAACGCTGTTTTCTCGTTGCCGGTCCGATAGGTATCCGGTAATCTTCTAATTAATTTTGCTGCTTCTAAGTCCTTTCATAATTGTTTATAATTTTTAGTACGTTTTCTATCGCGCTCTCGGATACCTATTAGTTATATTCCGATAAATAATATACCACTTTACTAAGTAGTATAGTTCGTCTTCGAATCGCTAGTCATACTTTATTTCTTCGCCTTACTATTCGTCGTTATCTACTAGTTTAGGTATGGGTAATCGTTCGGGTTCTCCCTCGCGCTAATGCTATAATTGTAGTAGAGAGATAGGAAATACGTTATAGATCGCTACATATTACCTAGTTAGGGAGTAGGAGGCGATACGCTTGTTTTCTAACACATTCGAGGATTCTAAAAGGTCCAATCTATCGTGGTGACAGCTGCTTTGTTGTGCCTTCTTTTAGCCGTAGGTTCTTTGTCGAGAGAGCCACTAGGTCATTTTTCTTAAACGTCATCTCTTCATAGCGCATGATGATGACATAAGTTCCAATATTATAACTAGTGAGATACTATAGGGATCGCATGGTTTCTGTTGGATAGTCCTAGCTCGCCAAAAGTGACGCAGTCTTTTTTTTGATAGGCGATCTAAAAAGGTTACACGTGATGGGATTAGCGTATTGCATTTTATTGATGTAGCTTACTCAGGCCGCTCATCCCTCTAGTTAGTTAGTTACTCAGTGCGCACTCAGTGAGTAAATCGAAGTGTTTAGATGATAACTAGTGAGCAAACTACTCCGTACGTTGATTATGTTTCGTGATCAAATCACGGTACTCAGGGACGTGCTCAGTTTTACTCAGTGATTAAAAAGCGGCAAGGTGAGCACTAAAACGGAAAGGGAAAGGTCTAGAGGGCCAGACATGGTACCTATGGTACATAGTATGGAGTATGTAGAAAGCAATTAAAAAATACACCATGTACGTACGATGTATGTACAGCCCTGCCGAGGTATGTTAGCCAAAAACATCGTTCTAACGTTGAATGTCCGTAAGGCGTATGCCGGGACATGTCCACTTTAGTGCAATTGCGATCCGGACGCTCTTAGCCCAATTTCAGCTTTGGAAGCTTGTCTCTTTTCTTGATCTGTGTCTTATATTCACACTCTTTTCTTTTCCTATATAATATATCTTTTCTCCTGTCAATACACGTGTCACCACCGTGTCTGAGAACCTCCCCCCCGTTCGGCCTGCGATGTCTGCGATTCGATAATTTCTGATCCTGCCCGACGATGGCGCCAGATAGCCAGAACCTTGATAATGACGAAAACGCTCCGCCGAACCAGATCCCTCTGCAAGATCTCTCGAAACCGGGAGATGCCCCTAACGAGCGCGGGAGAAGCCGCGCGGGGACCGGTCTCTTCTCACGACAATCGTTGATCGGGAGGGGGTCGCGCAGTAATTATGAGAGTGTTGCGGAAGAGTCTCCGAACGATTCGGCTGGACCGAGCAGGAATCCATTCCAACCCTCACAAACGCGCTATACAGAGATTGCTTCCCCACTTGATGACTTGGGTGGTTTCGCGCAAGCGATATCATCGGTTGGCCTCAGTTTCGATGGGCCACAATCAAGGACATTGCCCCCGGGACCATCAGCAAGCCGTGGTTTTGACGATTCTGCTTCCGACCTTGACGTCGTACCTCTAGACACTTATGATCCCCACGACCCCCACGGCTACAATCCCCCAGCAGACGAAGAAGATACGGTACGGTTAACCGATCCTCGATATTTGCAACCAATGAGCGGTGCTGCTAGTGCAGAAGGGCAACACAGCACGAACACTGGTCACTCTATACATTTTGGTGGTTCAAGACTAGGCGATGATCTTCCTCACCTGGAGGATGGGGTGGGAAGCCGTCGTGGTAGCGGTGCCCGGGATCGATCGCGTTCTTTGTCTCCATCGTCGTCTAGCGGGGCTCTGCAGCGCGCCGGCTCAATGGTCAAATCCATGTCGCAGCGAGTGGTCAATCTGAGTAACGAACCGGAAGTTGTACAGCAAACGATTGAGAGGGAAGAGCTTGATAAGAATGCACGAATGGACGGACCCCCGGTCTTGCCCGCGATGGTAGATTATGCACATGTATCCAACCAACAGGATCAAGCAGCTCGAGAGAAGCGATCCTCCAGCAGATTATGGAGGGATCGAAACAATCCATTTAAAGGGAGGTCACTCGGAATATTGGGACCGAATAACCCTTTCCGACTCTGGCTGTGTGATATCCTGGTAAATCCGTTCATGGAGCCCTTCATCTTGATTGTTATCGTCATCCAGACCATCTTGTTGACCGTCGAAGATGCGCTCCCTACTTCCCCGGACTCAGTGAGATTCGGAAGCAGCAAGTTTGATTGGGTTTTCTTGGCCATTTTCATCATTTACACACTTGAGATAGGCTCTAAGATTTTGGTGTCCGGACTTATTCTCAACCCTGTCGAGTACAGTACGCTTAATCGCAACCTCGGCATCAGGAAAGCAATCGCGGAGAAGGGCAGGAACCTGATTACACCGCATCGGCAGGGGACAGTCAAGAAAGCATCGATGCTTCCGGCTGAGCCTCAAGCTTCAATCCTGCGAACATTTACAGGGATGAACGGATTAGATCCCCAAGTCTATGATGATCCTCTACAAAAACGTCGCGTTAGGCTTGCCCATCGCGCGTTCCTTCGACACTCTTTTAACCGGCTTGATTTTGTAGCCGTGGTCGCATTTTGGGTATCCTTTTTCCTTTCAGTTTCAGGGGTTGAGAAAACACACCAACTGTACATCTTTCGTATGCTAAGCTGTCTCCGACTTTTACGTCTCCTTGCTATGACCAACGGCACTTCGGTAAGTCTTCCGTTACGAGTATATGACTTTCGAGACACTGACCAATTAATTCTAGGTAATCCTTCGAAGTCTTAAGCGAGCAGCTCCTTTGCTCGTCCATGTCGCATTTCTTATCGGTTTCTTCTGGCTTCTTTTCGCCATTATTGGCATCCAGAGTTTCAAGTCCAGTTTCAAGAGAACATGTGTTTGGATTGATCCCGCGGGCCAGAGCAATTACACATTGAATGATCCATGGGACAAATTGCAATTTTGTGGCGGGTATCTCAACGAAACCGGAGGAAAAATGCCATGGCTTGACCCCGATGGTATCGACGCAGGTTTCAGCCCCAAAGGATATCTTTGCCCTCAAGGTTCTGTATGCATGGAAGGTGTCAATCCTTACAATGGAACCATGAGCTTTGACAACATCCTGCACTCCCTGGAGTTAGTCTTTGTGATTATGAGCTCCAACACATTCACTGATCTGCTCTACTACACCACTGACACTGACTATCTCGCTGCGGCTCTGTTCTTTGCCTGTGGGTTTGTTATTTTGAGTTTGTGGTTGGTGAACTTGCTGGTCGCGGTTATCACACACTCATTCCAAGTGATTCGAGAGGAGAGCAAGCGCAGCGCTTTTGCCGTCCAAAAACTCGATGCTGTCGATGAAGATGACACAGTGACTCGCAAAGTCAGTCGTCTCAAGCGTATATATGATCAAACTGAGTGGATTTGGGTCTGCCTTATCATCTTTGACCTTATCGTGCAAGCCCTCAGAAGCTCGTCTATGTCTGCCCAACGCACTCAGTTCATCGATACTACTGAGACTGTTGTCACTCTCATCTTCCTGGTCGAGATTATCTTGCGATTCGCCTCGGATTGGCGCATGTTTTATCGAAGGCGTCGTAACTTGACAGACCTCTTGCTTGTAATCGTTACCTGCATCATCCAGCTGCCGCCTATCAGGAACTCAGGTCGTGCATACACAGTTCTCACCTTGTTCCAGATCCTTCGGGTCTACCGAGTGGTGCTGGCTTTCTCTGTGACCAGAAAGCTGATCGTGGTTGTATTCCGCAATACTGTCGGTCTGCTCAACCTGATATTTTTCCTATTCTTGATGACCTTCTTATCTGCCATTTTCGCAACACAACTTTTTCGAAGCCAGATTCCAGATACAGATCCAAGTGGTACGACGATCATGATCACGTTTTCGAACATCTACAATTCATTCCTGGGAATGTACCAAATTCTGTCGAGTGAAAATTGGACCACGATTCTTTACAATGCAAGCGCATATACGACCGGCTTCAACACAGCCTGGATCTCTGCTGCATTCATTACTCTTTGGTTCATTGTGTCCAACTTCATCATCCTAAACATGTTCATTGCTGTCATTCAGGAAAGCTTTGATGTCTCAGAAGACGAAAAACGAATGCACCAGGTCAAGGCGTTTTTGGAACAGAAACAAATCCACGGAGCACCCCAAGGAAACCTAGCGCTCTCGAAAATCCTTCGTATGGGCCGCGATTCAGCCCGGTATAAAGATCCACTCGACCATGGTCCTGCAGCGTTGGAAATGTTGCTGAAAGACGCCGTGGTGCAAGAGTTCCTTGATGAAGAAGAAACCAGGCAACAACAACGGGAAAGACCGAAGGATACACGCAGGGTGAGCACAATGCTAGAGGGCGCGACTCAAGAGACCATCCAACCAGGCTGGATCTCACTTCTATGGACGAAAGCCACCACACTTGTTATGCGGAGGGAACCAAATCCTTTTTACTCGAAGCTGAAGTTTTCGCGTGCTTACGAGGAGCTGGATCCGAAAACCATGGCAAGAGAAGTTGTTACTGCGGCAGAGCAGAGAAAACGGGACCAGCGAGAATACCTTGTGAAGCACCCTAACTATAACAAATCACTGTTTCTTTTCCCGCCGCATAGTTTCGTTCGGAAAATTTGTCAGCGAATTGTCGGCCCAGGACGTGGCCACCAACGAGTTGAGGGTGTGGATCCATACAAGCCAGTGTGGTATGCGTTCTCTGCTTTCATTTATGCAGCTATTGTCGCCATGGTGCTTCTCGCCTGCATTACAACACCCTTGTATCAGCGGCAGTATTTCCGCACTGACCGCAACTGGTTCGTCTATACTGACTTGAGCTTTGCCGTTGTATTTACTATTGAAGCGACCATCAAAGTGATTGCTGATGGCTTCTTCTGGACGCCGAACGCATTTTTCCGCAGTTCTTGGGGATTCATTGACGGAATCGTCTTGATCACGCTGTGGGTCAGTGTCGGCGGCTCACTCAAACAGGACTGGAGCGTTTCCAGAGCCATTGGTGCCTTCAAAGCGCTGAGGGCATTGCGTCTTTTGAACGTCAGTGACAGCGCCAAGGATACTTTCCACTCTGTCATCATTGTCGGGGGATGGAAGGTCATTGCTGCCGCTGCGGTTTCTATGAGTTTCCTCATACCATTCGCCATATATGGAGTCAATCTGTTCAACGGACAAATGGCTAGTTGCAATGACGGCAACTTTTCTGGGAACTTGACCAACTGCGTCAATGAGTATTCTAGCACGCCATACAATTGGGACGTACTTGCTCCACGAGTGGCTGGGAACTCTTTTTATGACTTCGATAACTTTGGTGACTCCCTCTTCATTCTGTTCCAAATTGTCTCCCAAGAAGGTTGGGTCGACGTACAAGAAGCTGCGATGAGTATCACTGGAAAGATGACCCAACCACAAGATCTAAAGGCGCCAGAGAACGGATTATTCTTTGTGGTTTTCAACTTACTTGGAGCCGTGTTTGTTCTGACACTGTTTGTGTCTGTGTTCATGCGCAATTACACAGAACAAACTGGTGTTGCCTTCCTGACCGCTGAGCAACGTTCCTGGTTGGAATTGCGGAAACTTCTCCGACAGGTATCGCCCTCGAAACGATCGTTTGATGACCAGAGCAAGAAGTTGCGGCTGTGGTGTTATCGAATTTCAGTTAAGAAGCATGGCCGGTGGGCATGGTTCGTGACTTGTGTCCTTGTAGTTCACTTGCTATTACTTGTGCTGGAGTATTATCCCGAACCCGACTGGTGGGAGCTGCTTCGAGGTAGGTTTTCTTTTTGCCTATGTTTGAATGTTGCGTGTTACTGATCGGTCAATAGCTATTATATTCTTGGCATTCATGCTTGTCTACGTTGCGAATGTCTTCATCCGACTGATAGGTCTTGGGTGGCATCGATTTAGCCGAAGCTCATGGGATCTGTACTCTCTCATCGCCGTCCCCGGCGCTTTCATCACCTCCGTCCTTGATATTTCATACCGTGAAAGAAGCCATGCCGTGGTAGAGCTCAACAAGCTTTTCCTCGTATCTGTTGCTCTGCTGCTTATCCCGAGGAATAACCAGCTTGATCAGCTCTTCAAGACAGCAGCAGCTAGTCTGTCCGTGATTGGAAATCTTCTAGCTACCTGGTTCGTTCTGTTCTTGGTGTTTGGCATTGCGATGAACCAGGCGTTTGGCTTGACCAAATTCGGCGAACATGAGGATCACAACCAGAACTTCCGCGATGTGCCCAAATCACTGATCCTGCTGTTCCGAGCAAGTTGTGGAGAAGGATGGAATGAATTCATGGAGGACTTCGCTACTATGATCCCGCCCTTGTGCACGCAGAACGCCAATTTTCTTGATGACGACTGTGGAAGCGCGCCGTGGGCCCGAACTCTCTTCATTGCATGGAACCTGATCAGCATGTACATCTTCGTCTCGCTGTTTGTTTCATTGATTTTCGAAAGTTTCTCCTATGTCTACCAGCGGAGCAGTGGGCTGTACGCGATCAGCCGCGAAGAGATCCGCCGGTTCAAGCAGGCGTGGGCCACGTATGATTCAGATGGCACGGGCTTTATATCCACGGAGCAGTTCCCTCGACTCCTCGGTGAGCTCTCTGGCGTCTTTGCGATGCGAATCTACGAGGGAGAGTTCACGGTTGGAAGTATCCTAGAAAAATGCCGGATCGACCCTCAGAGGAACTCAATAGGTTCTTACGCAAGAAATTCGATGGTCTCGCTGGTTGAGCCACGACGCTCAATGCGGCCAAACTCTCGTGTCTCGTCTGGCGTGGATATCGAGGAGCTCTCTCGGATCATATCGCGGATTCCAATCCAAAGCATCCGAGAGCGGCGCAGACGATTGAATGCCTTCTACGAAGAAATCCTTGTGTCAGCAGACCCCGATCGCGGCATCTCGTTCCACCAGTGCTTGATGATCCTCGCACATTACAATGTGATTAGCGATAGCAAGAGTCTGCGCCTTGAAGAATTCCTCCGTCGCCGAGCACGGCTGCAGCGGGTGGAAGAGGCTGTCCGTCGAAATACCGTTGTCGGTTTCTTTGATACCCTATACTGGTCACGCCAATTCCGCCGCCAAATTGACCGCAAGAAGAACGGCCGGATGAGCGTGGTCCCGACATTCACTGTGCCGGAGATCTTTGTCGACGACCCAGGCGACGACCACGAGGAACACGACCAGCCAGGCTCTGGCGCGATCACACCCCAGACACAACCGGATTTGGATGGAAACTTCCCCCCTATGCTCTCACCGATCTCGCACCACAGGCGAGCCGAGTCCAGCCCAACTGCCAACCGCAATGCTCTGCCCCGCATCAATACCAATTTGAGCGGGTCAGTATCTGGCTCCAACACGCCTACGAGGGAGTGGTCGAGTATCAGCCCCTCCATCACACCGCGTCAAATGTATGGGGAACGCACTTCGTTCGATACTAGCGAAACGCAAGAGGCGTCTCCGGTTGCCGACACTTCGCGTCACAACAGTGGTATGAATGTACAGGACGTTATGCATTCGCTAGACAACTCCGCCTGGGGTGAGAGTATCCGACGAAGCTTCACGCAGCGACGATCGGGCGATCGCAGTTCTGAATAAAATGCTGTGTGTATTGATCTATATGAATTTTGGATGTTATCACGAAGTGGATGGTGTGGATAGTAGCATGGGTTGGCTTTTTTTTTTCACTCCTTTTTCTTTCTTTTCTTTAACATTCTCCTCAAATAGATTGGGGATTTTGGATTTTGGATTTTGGATTTTTTTTTGGTTTCGTGACCTACTTGGTCGTTTTGGTTTTTCTGGCTTTGCGCTGTATACTACTCTCATTGAGCATTTTGCATAGCAGTGGCGTGGGATTCCATTTCAATACTATTTTTTCCCCATAGAATTGGATACACAATTGACTATTGACTATCGGACATTAAAAAAAAACGAAGATCGTTTAAACTATAGGAGACTGCATGAATCAAGTGGGTCGAACTAGTTACTATTGAAGCCGAAAGAGGAAATAGGAGAAAAAGAGAGGTGAACAGGAAGAGAGTACATGAGTCCATGAACTTTAGATAATATAACTATACATAATATAACTATACATATATACATGTATACATATCTTCTACATATACATAAAGAATATGCAAAACCAAAGGGAAACATCTGCTAAAGGCATTGTGTTATCCGTTTTCAGGAACAATCACATTCATCCGCATGCGTTCAATCCGTGTCTTAACTATCCCTGCACAGTCCTTGCAGTCAAATCGAATTAATAAATCCAAATCCCCAAAAATTCTGTCAATCCTACAAATTCAATCATTCAATCCTATCCTATCCCAAACCCTCTACTATGGTATAGTCATCTCCAAAGCCTCACATTCCATCAAACCAAAAAAAAAAAAACACCAAACCAACACCGCAACAATGAACTATATCACTTCACCACTTCTCTCCTTGAGCACATCCTTCCGCTCCAGAAGCCCCAAATCAACCAGCGACACCTCAAGCCCAAGCTCAACAACAACCTCACCACCCTCCTCTCCAACATCCACCCACTCGCCTCAAAGCTCCCCACACCACCTCTTCAACCTATCCTTCCACCCCTCCAAACTCCACACTCATACATTCCGAGGACAACCCGGTGTCAAGCACACAGATAGTCCTGGAAATCCATCCCGCCCGCACCCAGTCTCCGATACCCACAATGCCAGCAGCGTGCTCCCCTGCGTCCTACGCGGCCGCTCAGCGATGTTTGTCCGCCGACGACCGTCTAAGATTGACATGGCGCTGAGCGAAGAGCGGGCGCGATGTGATGGGGACTCTATTGAGAGACAGGGGTTGGAGTTGATGGAGCCGAGGCCGGTGGATCTGGGGATTGGGGAAGTGAAGCCTAATTTTGTGATGGGCGGCATCTTTGAGGTTATGGAGGGGAGGGCTTAGGCTTGATTTCTTCTTTTTCTTTTTCTTTTCTTGTTCTATTTTTTTTTTTTTTTTTTTTGGATCATGCTGTGATACTCTATTTGTTATAATTGCTTCTGTGTATTTCTCTGAAGTTGGGATTTTCTGCTTTCGGAAAAGAATGTGGGATAGAGAATATTGTATAGTTGGATATTGGAAATATGCCGGATTGTATTTTTGGGTTACATTTTGAGCCCTTGCTGTAACAGCTGCCCTGGATATTTATATTTATATTTATTTTATGTTTGCTCGCCCTAATTGGGGTCCTAATCACTTCCTTAATACCTAACTAGGTTCAGTAGAATGCATTGCGCATGCATTCACACTTGGAAAGGAGTATAAATATCCTAATCTCCGGCTCGAGTGTTAAAATCTAGCCATACACAAACTTTACAAGGTCGAATGGAGGGCTATTTTACTTAGGGGTGGATACAACTAGACCGAGCACAAATCACAACCGATGACTTAGGTCTAAACTACCGGGATGTACAATTAGATATCGGTTACTATAAGTGAAGGATGAATATAGAGAATGAGTAGATCAACACTAATGGAAATAGCTTATTGCAGCCTATGATTGCTCACTAATCTTATAGGTAAGAAAGGTCGTAATTACGTTGCACGGACCATACCTACGAGCCCTGGATTATGCCATGGTTCCAAGGTTTGATAACCCTACTTAGGTAGCCTATATAAAATCTTATTTTAGAAACTTGTTTATATGTCAACTAGGTGGGCATATATCTATAGGGATCACTAGTTAGCTAGAATTAGAACCTTACATACTTCAGATAATTGGCAGATAATAGGCTATCTGTCAGTTGGCAAAGAGTTAGAAAGCAGAATGGTATAGTAACGGTCAACATCACTCTATCGAGCCATATCTAGCTATAGTCTTCATAGGACTAGAAAATTATACTATTGCCATTGTTCTATCTGTTGGTAACCATGCTTGGCACCTAGATATCTTACTTTACTCGCATTCGGTAATTACTACCCTTTCTGCTCCTAGATTGAAATTTATCCTCCGCAGGATTAAACTGAAGCCCAAAACCCACTGGCTTTAATAGCCATATCGTAATTATTCGAGTCTATCGAGATTAATTTCTAGATTCGATTAAATGTCCACTTCACTCTTACCTGTCAGAGAGATAAGGTCACTATGGAACGATACCACCAGGGCGAAGTCAAGGAAGTTGAAAGTAATTTGGAAGTAGGCTATGTTTGTCATTAATCATACATAATTCTTGTCAGGGTATTGTGAATCTAACACATGGCAAAGGTAAACAAAGATACCGCAGATGAAAGAGAGCCAATAGGCTTAGAGATGCCTGGAAGACGGGCAGGTTATGCTTTAATGCACTTGCGTCATAGTCATGACTGCGCAAAAAGAAATAAAAAACAATAAAAAAACCAGGTCGCTAATCACACATGATGGGGGTATGGAAAATCGCAAAGAACAAAGACGAGAGTGCATTGGCCAGTTGGCAGGAAGGGTAGCCAGTAGCCAGGGCTTGCAGGCGTTGACACAGAAAAGCCTGTTAAGGCTTGGATCCCTGGCCCTTGCGCTTGTTTGGCCACAACTGACCACGGCACTTGGATTCACCACACAAGCACTGGACTGCTTCAGGGTCAATCTTCTGAGGAGTTGTGTTCTCCTCGCCCTGGTTATAATCAAAGGTCAATTCGGTGCCAGGGGAGATGTCGCGGTAGGCAAAGAAAGCAAGGTTGTAAAGATACTCGTCGGCATGATTCGTGCTGCAGACAGGGACGATTTTGCAGTTAGGGTTGCAAGAGTGGTTCATAAAGCGAGTTGCGGAACCAAATTTGCGGCCATCGATGACTTTCATATTCTTTTCTTCATCGTCATCATCCTTGACATACCAGTCCAAAGAGAAGAGGTATGATTGCGTGTGCGAACCATCGGTGAGATTCTCTCGCTCATCGGCTTCAGCCTTCGTGATGACCTCACCGAGGTAAAGATCGATGAACTGTCCACGGTGAATCAAGTCGGGGGACCGAAGACCTAAGTAAAGATCATGATTAGTATAGATAGCCAAAGAGGGGATGGAATGAGACAAACCGAAGCCGCGAGGTCCAGTGTCGAAAATTTCAAGTCTAATAGTCCTGCCTTTCTGAACAACGTGATTCCAGCACCGCTTTCCACCACAGCCACAACGGGAGTTGCACTCATAAATGATTGCCTTGCGCTTAAGGAAGCTTTTGTTTGCAACGATCAATTTCGGGTTGCTTTCACAGATCTCATACGGGACGATGCGATCTTCAGAATCTTCCTCCTTGCTAAGGCAATCACACTCAAATCGATCACAGCCGCCAGTTTCAGTGCACGCACAACCGATGTTGAAATCCGAGTCATCAGGAATCCGTTCAACACCCGCACGGTACTGATAGCCATTGATAAACTCGAAGTTATCGGCTAGTTTGGCCAGACGCTGTGGTGACTCAACTGCCGTAATGACCGAAGGACCATTGATACGTTGTAGCTTCTCATCAAGAGCGTGACGGAGCTTCGCAAGGTGGTTTGTTTCGGTGAGCGATGGTAAGTTAAGAATGTCCATATCTGAGCTTGTTTTGAATGATAATGGGACTGAACGACGGTCAACACGAGCCTTGGTAGTAGGGTATGCGGCTTTTTTGACTCTTTCCTCTTCGTCGGTTGTAGGAAAGATATTAATGTCCATGCCATCCACATTGGACACATTTTGTGCGATTGCGATCTCGCGCTTTTGCTTTGATGTCGGCGATGGGATCACAACACTAATTTGAGATCGCTGTATGTTTGGTGGTGGACTTGGCGTAAATGGGGAAGGGGAAGGGTGAGCGTGCGAGAGACGTGCACGCCGTGGCAACCGGTGAATATCACTTGACGAAGTATCTGAGACATCCTCAGATATGCCTAAGCTCTTCCTCTTGAGTGGAACAGTTGGTGGGTGATAAGCTAACGCTGCCATAAAAGGAAGCTTGCCCTGTACCAAATTCTTTGGCTAGGAGCAATATTTAGTAACAATCAGATAAATAGTTGTGTACGTCCATAGGATCGGGTTGCCAGATAGTTAAGTAAACAGTTGGCTGGGGGGAAAGAAAATAAAAATTGACGAGACAAAGAAAGGCGTAGTGGGGCATGGGCCCAGGAGGAGATATGGGCTTAAGCAAAGCAGTCTTTGGAAGATCGAGATCAACGGGCATAAGCACTTACGTCTTCAGAATCGCCTGGGTCAGTTTCATCAGTCAAGTCGATGAACACTCGGTTCTGGTTAGCCCCCGAACCAAGGGGAACGCGTCCCGCCATCCTAAGCAGCGTGTAGGTGTTAGGGGGTGACAAGCATCAGAACGCGTGACAAAAACGCGTAGTTTCTTGCAATTACGATCCCTTTCAGGATAGTAGAGATGATAGACGAGGTGAATAAGAAAAGAGAGGCTTTTGAGTCCCTCGAAGCACCGATGACTCGAGGATCTTACCCTAGAAAGTAAAAACAAAAGGATAGGAGGGAAAAAAATGTCTGAAGAAGATGAGAAAAAAGAGAAAGAATATCTTCGAGAACCGCCGATAAAACTAAAAGTGACTCGAAGAAAATGCAATGTTCGTGGCGGATGAGAGACGTGGTTGAAGATCGAGGCCTGAGGTGGTGTTGAGGCGAGGTTGACAGAACGAGAACGAGAATATATCGTGGTGGGGCCCTGACAGGTGCTTACTCAGCATCTTTATTTCCCTTTACCTAGATAGGTAATGATCGCCCTGGCGTTAGCCTTCGTTGTTTCCTCAATTGAAAGAAAAACATGTCTATACTATTATTACTATTGTTATTGTTATTGTAATTATTATTATAATATTCATGATTTCCACTATCGAGTAAGTTAATTTTATCTTTTAGGTCTCGAGTTTGCTGTGTTCTGGGTTGATAGGGGGTATTCTGGTTGGTGGCCGCTGATTGGCGATTAAAAGGGGTTGTTGGCAAGTGTGGGAACAGCACACAGGTATGTTATGAGCCTTCAATCGGTCCCCAACCGACCGGTAGCTCCCAGGCCCAAAAAAAGCCGAAAAATGCAGCAAAAAAGCTCTATATTATAGAGCTCAACACATGCTATCGATTGGTATATTTACCAGCCAGATTAGACGGTGTGATAGGCATCTAGAGGGCTTTGGAGGGTTGAGGGCAATGGCTGTCGCAAAGTCTTGGCATCAATGTTCAACCATGTGGGCCGCAACGGAACTCACTTCCAAGTTTCATCCAATCAACGCCCTATATGTGTGATGACTCAGCATCGGAGTTCGCCTATTCTATAGAGTATTCATAGTATAAACAGGTCGGATTATGTAGAAATTTGTCGGCGTCGGACTGAAAAAGCGAAGTATTAAAGGTCTGGATGGCCCCCGAAGACACGCCCGAAGTCATCTCTAGGACGTCTAGTAATGCCTTAGTCATCGTACATATACGCAACCTTGGAAGAGATTCCGGGGCATCCGTCAGCTTTTAAGGGCATTTGGCCCTAGGCTCTCCCTAAAAGGCCGTATTTGAGTGGTGGTGAAGGCTGGAGTTGGGGGAGTTTTTCCAGTTCTACCCCTAGGCCCTAATACAAGATGAATTCTTTTATCCTCCGAGGCGATAATAGATAGCTCTTCTCATGGAGCACCTGTATTTTTAGTTTTCTTTTTCATTTATTTATTTAGTTATTAAATAACCATTAGGTCCTTCGCTGCTTCTAGTTACTCGGAAGTTTCGCATTCCTTCCGCCAACTGGCTAATTCGACCCGGCACCCGGTCCACCCGTAACCCCGCCCGCACGCCAGGTTGGACAGGGTGCGTACGGGCTTGGGCAGCTTGGGGCCCCGGGCTCTGGGCTTCGGTGCCACAACAACGGGTGCTACCTACGCCCGTGGCGTTTAGCCACACGTTTTCACGAGTATGCACCAAAGACTTCAACAATCAAATTGAAATTCATGTATGGTTCATGTACTCCGTATATATATTCTCTTTTTCTTTTATTGCATGCATACCATAAGCTTGCCATCTACGTATGTACAGACAGGGACCTCGGAGGTACGCACCCTAGAAACTGTAGACGCTATACCGGGGATTTTAGCCTCTAGACTAGATTGTAGCGATGACCTATCTACACCCTTACTAAAAATGAATCTGGTGGGATTTTTCGAACGATATTTGGTGTTTTTGGCTCGCCCCACCGGCTTTAGACAGCACATTCGATGTAACATTTAGGGGGAAGGTTTTTGGGTGAACCCCGGTCAAGATAAAGTTCCGGTTTAGAGTATCATCAGCGAGCCACCCATACATAGCTGAAGGCCTATATGGACTGCATAGGTTGTCCAACAATAGAGAAAGGGAGGAAATAAGCTAACATAATTGGTTGGATTATAATAATAACACTTGAACCTGAACTTATTTACATAGGGGGGATTGCCGCAACAATTTTTGTATTTGTAGGCACAACATGAAGTTCATAACTGTCCAACGAAAGATACAATCATCTCCCTAGGCTACAACAGCCAATAGATGACACCGGTAACAAAGCAAAAGCAAAGACGCTAGCAACCAAAACGTCTTCACTTGATTCTAATATACATCCACCATGAAGACCAAAGTGCAAATCTAGCTAGGTCAATAGGTATTGAGATAGGCGAGTAGTACTTAGGTTCAGGATGAAAGAGAAAATAACGGGCTAATGAAGATAGGTGATCCCTCTATGAAAGATGAGAGGAAAGCAAAGATAGCAATGGACATGCAAGTAATGAAGGGCAAAATGGATGAATGCTCGTGCATGCGGATGCGTCGTAGATGGATGTAACTCAAAAGAAAAAGAAAAAGAAAAGAAAAAAAGCGCCAACTGTGTACCGCAAGGACAAGGGAAGAGCCCTTGTCATAGAATGTGCTCCTTGGCCAAGGATTTTATGTCAATGAGGCAGATCACAGTTTCAATGCATCGAGGATCTTCTTCGCCATTTCTCGATACTGCCACATGCCCCCTGATACCTTCTTGAACTGAATACCATGTAGGGAGAACAAGGGCACCTTCACGATTAGGATTTCGAAACGGAGGACGAGGTTTTCTCCAGTGTCGCTCTGTACACGGGTAGTGGTTTCACCAACGACACGTTCGCCGACCGGACCACCCTGTTCCCGCGCAACATATTCATCTGAGCCGTCCGAGTTCGTGGTGAAACTATGATCCGGCGCAGCTTGAGCTCGACGAAGTTTGGAGGACCCAGTGCGGCTGTCGTGTGGGCTTTCATCGTGGTTGAGGAGGCCGCCAAAGCTGATACGACGGCGATGCCCTGATACTTGCCCCTGTCGTTCTGGACTGGGAGGGGCAACATCAACGACCTTGTCGAGATCGATGCTGGGGGCATGGCGGCAGCTAAACCCACCCTTGATCTCGACATACTCAACCGCGAGCTGCCTCAAGACCCGAATAATGTCGGCCCGAATGACGGGCAGAGGTTTGCTGCTGGTGGTGGAAACACTGAAAAGCCCCTTAAGGAACACTGGTTTGGACAAATCTTCTCCCTCGTTAGCGCTCTCCAGTGCTGTCCCTGCGCCAGAGATGTCTGCATCTGTCTCCTCGGGCACGTTGGCCTCTCGGGTAGCCTCTCGCCGGGCCCGGCGAGCCTGAATACTTTCTCGCCGCGCGTGTCCCAGCGACATGGTGCGCGCCGCGTGCGTGCGTCCACCAACCCTCACGCTCGCCGGATCTTGCTGATTATTCGGAATAACTTGATCAGAGTCACTGGCAGAGGGTGGTTGAGGGTCTGCAGTAACGTCCGAGGCATCGGCATCACTTCTCCGTGCGGCTCTCCAAGTTCGGTAGTCTGCCGAATTGACACTGGTAGATCTTTCCAGGAATTTGTTGGACCGCGAAGTGCGTTCCGACGATCCTGGCGCCGCTAGAAGATCCTGTTGAGGCCGGCTGTCATTCGAAGATGCCTCTCCTGCAGATGGCTCCGCTCGCCGGGTTCTCCTTACGCTGAAGCCACGGTGCATTGGAGATGCTGAATCTGCAGGAGGTTGAACGTTGAGTGCGGGTGTGTTGGGGGTACTGACGCGTTCACGATCCACATCGCGGCTGCGATCTTTGGTCCTACGAGTGCTGAATCTTCTCAAGATTCCAGCAGCAGTGCTTTCTTTCTTGGCGGGGGTGTCGGGCTGTGAGATTGGGACTGCGTGCGTAGATGGCGAGGGAGGATGGAGTATCTTCATTCCTTCTGAGGCTTCGTCCTCACCGTGGGTGCGGGCGCGTGGCCGAGACCGTCGTCCAGTATCCTTGTCTCCTGCCAACTGGTACTGATTGGTGTGGGCGGCTTCCGGGGGCCGCAGCTCAGGCACATGGACTTCACTGGGGGTTTGACGAAGACCAAGGGCACCAGGACGTGCTTCGGCCCGCTCTCTGTCAATCTTTTCTTTAACCAGATGGTATGTGGAGACCAACGGACTGTAAGCATTTAAAGGGTCGTTGCCTAGTTGCACCGCCTCGGCCGAAGGTGCGGAAAGAGTATCACGACTGGCCGCAGAGTTTCGACGTTTATAGAAATCGAACACTCCTCGTTTGCGCTCTGGGTGACTGGAAACAGGGTGTTGTTGTTGTTCGCGGAAGTACAGCCGGAGAGCATGTTGGTAATCCTCGGACTCCAATACTTTAGTCAACTGAGCTGTAATGTACTCCGGAGGCCCGAAGTCAAAGCCGGTCATCTTTTCAATGACCTCTTGATCCAGAGGTAGCTGCAAAGGCTCACGATGAGGGAGGTGATTCTCTGGGGGGTTGCTAAAGCCCTTATTCATCCAGGGATGGCTCATGATCTCGGTCAAGCTGGCACGCTGCTTGGGGTCAGTGACCAGCATGCGGGATATAATGTGGCGGCACTCTGCAAAGCCTAATCAGCAATGGAATTAGAGAAAGCATCCTTGCAAGGTTGACTTACCGGCAGTGAGACCTGGCGGGTACTCAACCACACCTTTCTTGATTTTGGCATGCAGCTGAGGCATACTCTGGTCATCGAAAGGTACCTTTCCACAGACCAAGACATAAAGGACAATTCCAAAGCTCCAAACATCAACTTCGGGTCCCGTATATTGTCTGGCCTGGAGCAACTCCGGAGCAGCGAAATACAGACTACCGCAGAACGTCTTCAGCAAACCTCTTGGGGAGAACAAGTTGCTGAGACCAAAATCAATGATTTTGATATCACCGGTCTTACTGATGAGGATGTTCTCAATTTTCAGATCACGATGTACGATGCTGTTGCGGTGCGAGTAATCCAAGGCGCTGGCGATCTGTCGT